TCCGACTTTGTTGGATGAGACAGGGCGGACCGCTCTCACCTCCGTAGGGCCCCGGCGGGGACTGGGGACGGTGCACCTGCCAGGGCCCAGGCACCGGGACTCTTAGGACGTGGCGTTTCAGTCTGGGCTCGCCAAGTTAGGGCCCACAGACTCCGCACGGGGTCCTGCCGAAACGGGCGGGGCCCCTGAGGCCGGAGAGGACAGGGTGCCCCCCAGACAGGCACAGCAGGCGCGGGGCGTGTTCTGCATGGTTCCGGAGCTGTGTGTGGGGTTAGGGTTTAGCACAACACGGTGGGAATGGCCGTTCTCCCGCACGAGTGAGGGGCAGCGGCAGGTCTGCATTTGCGCCGAAGAGGGTGTGGGTGTCTGGGTGCAGGGCTAGATCTCAGCAGCCAGTTGTGCTGGGTGGCTGGTTGCAAAGGGTCCTTAGACAGTTCTCCTTCCTTAGGGGGCGTTTAGGGAAACAGAGGCCTCCTGGGGGTGGTGGCTGACCTGGGAGATCAGAGGCAGAAGCCAGGTGGGTGTGTGGGCGCTCCTGGCTCAGGGGCACGGGGTTGTGTGGGCAGCACGCTTGCCCGCCTGAGCAGTGGGTTGTGGGTCTTGACTCTGCCTTGCAGGGGGCAAAGCCCCTGAAACCTGCAGAGCCAGCCCGCTGCCCAGGGTGTCCCTTTCCCACCTGTTGACTGTGTGCGCTGGTGCCCCGTAGGGTGAGTTTGTGTTGGTTTCCCAGGAGGAGGTCCGTGTGTGAGCTCCACGTGTGCCTGGCTCTTTGCGAGGCCCGGGGCTCTGGCTGTGAGCGCAGGTCCCACAGTGCCTGTCCTAAAGGGCCTGAGAGGCTGGTCACTAAAGGGTCGGCCGGTCTGGAGATGTCCGAAGTGATGAGCCACAGTCAGCCTCTGCCCAGGACGCCTGTGGCGGTGCCGGAGCCTCCCATGTTTTGTGACCTTGGGCAGGTGACTCAGTGTCCACAGCTTTAGTGCCCCCATCTCTGAAATGGGAAATGGGAGTGTCCTGGAGGCAGGCGGTCTCCTGATACCTTGGCCGAGTGTCTGATCCTTAGAAAGTCACTGGTAACGAGCGGTCTCTCACCGGTGAGGACGATGGTTTGTAAGCTGCCAGCACGTGCCCGACTTTTCTCATCGCTGGAGTCGCCGTCAGCGCCACGCGGGAAGGCGGGAGAGCTGCGTGTTGTCTGCCTCACGGTTCCAGTTGAGTGTCTGAAAGGCCCGCCGGCACTGTCTTGGTCTTGGACTTAAAATCCTGCAGGGCTTTCTTTCGTCCTCCCCGGGACCCTCGGCTCAGTGATGCGGTCCCCGCCATCTCCCCCGCCGCCGCTCTTGGGTTCCCTTCCATCTCCGCCTCGGAGGGACTCCTCTGTCTCGTCTCTGTGCTGTGTCTGCCTGCGCCCGCTTGTTTGTTCTCTGTGTTCTGCTGAGACTGGTGACTCGCGTGGGTGGGGACAGGCAGAACCTGTTTCCCCATGGACCGCGGGGCACCCAGGGCCTGTCTCCTCACCTGGCCCGGCGTAGGTGTTCCATGGACTGTGGGGCTCTTCCTCTTAGCTGTCGTTGTGTATCGCTGTCAGACTCGTGGTGTCAGAGCAATGACTGGCCTCACTCAGGCCCCTCACGCCATGGCCGCCATGGCCCTCGGTTGCTGGCTGGGGCTGGAGCCGGCCCCGGCGAAGGAAGCGTCCCTGCTCACATGTGGCTGGGACCCCTCCCCATGGCCTCTCTGTGTGGCTTGGGCTTCCTCACAGCGTGGCGGCTGGTGACTGTCCCAGACAATACCCGATGGAGACTGAGCTGCATTTTAAGTCACAGGGAGCCCCTGCCCCAAGTCCCAGGCCCATCTGGGTCTCCAGGGAGGGGGCCCAGAACTCTGCTTCTGGAAGGGGGAGGCATGCCCGGGTCCCAGTGGGAGGAGAGCACGTGGGGCCGCCATGGCGTCGCTATGGGCTATGCTGGGAAGGGCAGTGGGAGGAGGTGGACGCTGCCAGAAGAAAGGCCCTGCATTCCAGTGTCCTGCTGAGCCGTCGGGGTCCCGCGGGGTCCCACGTGGCGGGGCTGAGGAGCTCACTTGTCCTTGCGGAGACCTGGGTCCCCCACTCCCCTGGGGCCCCATCTCTACCGTTCCTTTTCTCCTTCCTCCCTTACCTTTTTTTTCCTAACCTGAAATTCCTTTAGCCCGCTCCCCGTCCTGTTTTTTCTTCCATTTTAGCAAAGCGGGTGGCTTTGGCTCTGCTGGAAACACCCGCAGTGTCCTGGACAAAGGCCGCAGAGGGCCTGGGAATCCCACTGTTGAGGGTGGGCTTATGTCTAGAGATCAGATGTTGGGGCAGGGGAGCGAAGAGAATCATGAAGTCAGTGTTCCTTGGTGAGTGTCGAGGAACCCCGAGTCATCTGGGAACGAACCTGGAGATCTGAGGCCACGGGGTGCTCCGAGCAGCACCCCCACCCCTGCCCCTGGGGACGGACCCCTGTCGTAGGGACGGAGCCCTGCTCCTGCTCTTCCTGTCACTCCCAGCTGTTTCTCTGCTTGAGCCTCCGTGCCAGATAAGGGCCTCGTCCTCTGCAGACCCTGCTGGGGACCGCAGACTTCCACACCTGAGGTCCTCCTGGGGGTGCCCGGCATGGGAGCAGGGGCAGCTCCCCCTAGACAACAGGCCGTCCAGACTCTGCCCTCGCTCCGTGTCCCCTGTTAGAGCTCTGGTGGCTAGAGACAGAAAGCCCGCCCTGGCTGAGGTGGGAGAGGGAGCCCAGGAAGGCTGCGGCTCAGCATTCTGGAGGGTTAGAGAGGGCCTGGGTGATTTCAGAGGACACGTAGGGTGCTGGCCCCGTGGGTGCACACTGTGTGGACTGATGACAGCCCCCCCTTCCCTGGGAGACGAGGCCGCCCGCAGCAGACCCCTGTGCTCCACTCCATGCCTGTTTCCAGCCCCTCCTGCCAGGTCCCAGCTCCACACCCCCCGACGGGCTCAGCCACCCTGCGGCTGCGCTTTCCAGGACCTGCCTGCTCAGAGCTCGGAGCTGCGTGTGCTCCTGGCAGAGGTTGCGCACACGCGCACACACGCGCACACGCACACGTACATACGCCACACGCACGCACACACGTGCTCACACTCCTCACCCCCAGGGAAGCGGGGCTCATTCCTTCCCGGCCTCGTGGTCCTTGCCTTTGTCGCGCGGTCCTCATCGGCCTCTGCCGGCCCTGCTTGCCCGCCCGTGGCTGGGCTCTGCCTCCCCGCTGCGGGCTGTGCCGTTGTCTGTGCAGCGGCGTCTGCAGAGGGTCTCTGAGTCAGCACCTGAGGGACGCGGCTTCTGTGCCGTGTGAGCTGGGTTAGTGACCTGATCTCTCTGAGCTGTGGCTCCTCGTTTCTCCTGGGAGGAGAAGGATCACTCGAGGGCTGGAGGTTCTCTCGAGGATCCAGTGAGGGCCTCCTGAGAAAGCTTTCTGCATGTCCTTAACTTGACTTCATTATTCAGATCTCGTGCGCGTGTGCACGTCCGTGTGTGCGTGTCCGTGTGCGCGCGTGTGTGCAGGTAGCTTAGCTGAGGTTTATTTGTACGGTTCCCTCGTTTTCGTGTGCAGAGTTCAGTGGTTTCTCAGCACATTTGGAGCTGTGTGACCATCAGCGGTCACCTTTGGAACATGAAATATCCCCAGAGCAGCCCCGTCCCATCAGCCATCCCCTCCCCCATCCCCGGCCCCCGCGAGCCCCCTTCCTGTCCGTGGACGAGCCTGGTCTGGACGTGTCGCACGCGTGGACTCACACTCCACGTGGCCTCCTGTGTCTGGTTCCCTCCCTGCGCACTGTGGGCTCGGGGTCCGTCCCTAGAGCAGTGCCTGGGGGCCTCGCTCCTGGTGGCGGCTGGGGACACTCATGGTTCTGCTTGTCTTCCTCAGCTGGTGGACATTTGTGTCCTTTCCATCTCTGGCTCTTGTGAAGGTCCCACCGTGGACGTCCACATGAGAGCTTTAGTGGACCCGTGTGTCCCTTCTCCCTTGGACATCCCTCCCCTCCTTGGTGTCCGGGTGGGTGCCTGGGGAGTTAGACTGACAAGGGCAGATGATCGAGAGAGAAGTAAGCGCAGTTGAGGGACGCACATAGCACATGTCCTGCAGGAGCAGCACAGGGCGTCACCCGGGGGTGGGCAGGGCTCGGGCTCCTGTGGCCATCTCTACAGAAGCGCAGCCCCCGTGGACTGTCATGACGCAGAAGGACTAGGAGTCTGTCTGGGCCCCAGGTCATGGGAAGCCGGATGCGCGGGAGCTGGTGGAAGGCCAGGCTGGTCAGTCAGGTGGGTCTGTGCAGGTGAGCTCAGTGCTGAGCTGCTCCCCACCTGGTTTGGGGGCGGGAGGGGGGCACCCACTCGGGGACCTACGCCTGCCTTGAAGTGGGCCAGGCCAACACAGACCCCATCCTGGGTCTCTTTGCTTGGTTGACTTTGTTTCTTGGTGACCCGTGTGCTGGGCTGACCCCTCGTGTCTGGCGAGTGGTGGATGTGCCCGGGTGGTCCATCACCGTGCTGGCCTTCTGCGGGGCCGCCGAGCGCCTGCCCGCCTTGCGTGCCCTCCTTTGCTTGGCTTCCTTCCGAGGAGCCCTTCTCCGTGTGCTCACGGGCCACCGAGTGTGTCTCTGGGGAAGTTGGGATCCTTTCCCCATTTTGCCTTTCCATTAGTGAGTCATAGCGGGTCCCTTTCCGTGATCCGCGGACCCTGACTGCCTCTGAGGGCTGTCTTCTCACCTCCTCGTTGATGTCCTGTCCGGTGGAAACTCTGTTGATGTGCTTTTCCTCTCGTTGCCTGTGCTTTTGGTGCTCTGAGAAACCGTGGTGTGTGTCCAGGGAGACAGGGTTATTCCTTTGTTTTCCTCTAAGAGCTCCGTGGTTTTAGCTCTCACCCTGAAGGTCTTGGGTCCATTCTGAGCTCACTTGTGTGCAGTGCGAGCAAGCACGTGGCCCTCCTGTCGTCCCAGCACCATGTGTCACAGACTCTTCTCCACGGAGCCGTTCTGTCCCCTTGTCGAGATTCAGTCGGAAGTGAGACGGTGGGTTTGTTTCTGGGTTCTCAAGTCTGTCCTCTTGATTCGTCTGTCCCCTTCATGTCAGCACCACGCTGTTCTGATCCCTCTAGCTTTGTTGTACTTTCAAACCAGGAACTGTTCTACCTCAAGATTGTTTTGGCTTATCTGGGTCCCTTGACTTTTCCTATGAAGTTTGGGATCTGTTCGTCAGTTTCTGCATGGAAGCCAAGGGGGCTCTCCCCGCTGAGGCCTCTTCCTGGGGCTGCCCGGGCCGTGGGGCTCTGCGCTGTACGTGCTCCCAGGTGTCCAACTTTGCTTCTCTTCCTCCGCAGGCCTCCTCACTGGAAAGGCAGAGCCCTGGTGTGGCCTCCTGCCTCGCTCACAGCCTGTGCCCTGGGGAGCCCAGCCTGCAGACAGCAGCAGGTACCCTCCTTGCCCTTCCCCTCCCCCGCCCAGGGCCACCAGGGCCTCTGGGTGTGAGAGACTGCATCTCGCCCAGCTGGGCAGAGCCGGACACAGTGTGCTGGCTCCCAGAGTCCAAGGACGGGTGTGAGCCGAGCGGCTGGGGCTCTCCCCTCATCCTCTGGTGGCGGCAGGACAGCCTAGGAGAGGACCAGAGGGCCTCCGTCCTGGGGTGGCCTGCTGGCCTGGCGGGCACTTACCTTAGCCAAGGCAGGAAGATGGGGTTTTGGTGCTGGGTGGGTACTCTTCCCGGGTGCTCTGCACCCCCCACCGCAGCTGGCCCCTGGCAGCTACTCCTCCTCCCGTGTGTGGCCCCGGGTGGAGGGAGGAGGCCAGCCTTGGCCTTCACGGCTCCCTGGCCTGGGTGGACAGAGCCCTTGCCATTCCCTTTTGTCTTTGTTTTCCTTAACGGTGACTTACCGAAGACCAGAATGGAGAGAGAGACGAGCACATCCTGGTTCTTTTGGGAAAACCAATAATCTGGTCACGTCTGCCACCCATTGGCCCGTGCCGCGGCTTGTGGCTGTGGCTCTGCTGAGCAGGAGGGAGGATGGGCGCTTGTCGGGCCTTCTGTGTGTCCCCCGCACCCTGCTGCCCCTGCGGTGGTGCGCGGGCGTGCCCGTGTTCCCAGAGCTGGAGGCCCCGCCCGACGGGGAACCGGGGCGGCCTTCTGCGGTTTGGGCCTCGCTGCCCCAGAACTCGTCTCTGCCTGGTCTGTGGGCTCCTCTCCGCACTGCCATAGGGGTCTGTGGTGATGGAGACCGAGAGGCTCCCCACACGTCCCGCATGTGTGTGTGCGGTCAGCCGGCCGTGCTCTTCCCTCCGCGGCCCTGCTGTCCCTCCCTCATGACTGCGTGATGCTGACCAGTGTGCAGCACCCACATGGGCAGCCGTGCACACGCACCTCACGGACACACAGCCCTTCCCCTGTGTATGCGTGAGCACACGAGTGCCCACGGCCGCAGGCTGTGGGGCTTGGCCCTGGTGACAGCCTGGCCACTGGCGTGTCCACTCTCCGGCCGTCCCCTGGCCTGTGCGATGGTTGGGGCGCGTGGGGCGAGCAGCTCACGCCGGTGCCGTCTCCTCGCAGTGGTGTCCATGGGCTCTGCGGACCATCAGTTCAACCTCGTGGAGATCCTGTCCCAGAACTACGGCCTCCAGGAGCCGTGCGAGCCGGCCGCGGGAGACCCAGAGAAGCCTGAGGGGGAGCTGGAGAAGGACTTCATCGCCCAGGTACTCGGCTGAGCGGGTCCCTCTGCCCTCGTGTGGGTGGGGCCTCCTGGGCCAGACCCCGTTGCTGCCTTTGGTGGAACCAGTCCCCCAGCTGTTCAGATCTCACTGCCTCTGTGTCTGTTTGGGAAGCACGAGGCGCTGTGCTAGGAGCTGAGGTCATGGGGGGTCAGGCCAGACCCGGTCGTGCCCCTGGGGCTTTAGGGCTCTAGGCATTAAACCCACTGTTGTTTTTTGGCCTCAGAATCCTCTTTATGTTCTTAAAAATTCTTGAGGATTTCAAAGAGCTTCGTAAAGGTTATACAGTAAATGTAGTGTTGATAGAAATACCAGATGTTTATGAAAATGAAAAAAGAAATCGGGATGATTGGGCGGTGTGGTTGGTGACGTCTCTGAGTCTCGGTTTCGGCTCGGGTCCTGATCTCAGGGTCCTGGGATCCAGCCCCGCATCGGGCTCCCTGCTTAGCAGGGAGTCTGCTTCTCCCTCTGTTTCTGCCCCTCCTCCTGCTTTCTCTTTTTCTCTCTCTCTCAAATAAACAAATAAATCTTTAAAAAATAAAAAATAGCTTTTCTAAAATAAAAACAGGTTGGGGATGCCTGGGTGGTGTGGTCGGATTTGAGTGTCTGACTCTTGGTTTCAGCTCAGGTCCTGATCTCGTGGTGGGATCGAGTCCCATGTCGGGCTTTGCACTCAACGGGGAGTCTGCTTGGGATTCTCTCTCTCCCTCTCCCCCTCTCCCTTGTGTTCTCTCTCTCTGGAGTCAATGAACTATTGGGACTTCATCAAGATCGAAGGCTTTTGCACAGCAAAGGAAACAGTGGACAAAACCAAAAAAACCCCAACAGAATGGGAGAGGATATTTGCAAATGTTTTATCACATAAAGGGCGAGTATCCAAAATCTATAAAGAACTTACCAAACTCAACACCCAAAGAACAAATAATCCAATCAAGAAATGGGCAGAAGACATGAACAGACATTTCTGCAAAGAAGACATCCGATGGCCAACAGACACATGAGAAAGTGCTCCACGTCACTCGGCATCAGGGAAATACAAATCAAGAGCATGATGAGATCCCACCTCACACCGGTCAGAATGGCTAAAATTAACCAGTCAGGAAACGACAGGTGCTGGCGAGGATGCGGAGAAAGGGGAGCCCTCCTACACTGTTGGTGGGAATGCAAGCCGGTGCGGCCACTCTGGAAAACAGTGTGGAGGTTCCTCAAGAAGTTAAAAATAGAGGACCCGGCAATCGCACTATGGGGTATTTACCCCAAAGATTCAAATGTAGTGATCCGAAGGGGCCCGTGCACCTGAGTGTTCATAGCAGCGACGTCCACAACAGCCAAACTATGGAAAGAGCTGAGATGCTGTTCCGCAGATGAACGGATAAAGGAGATGTGGTCCACAGATACAGTGGAATACTATGCAGCCATCAAAACCCCCCAAATCTTGCCATTTGCGACGACGTGGATGGAACTAGAGGGTATTATGCAGGTGAAATAAGTCAATCAGAGAAAGATGGTTATCATATGATCTCACTTGTGTGGAGTTCAAGAAACAAAACAGTATCATAGGGGAAGCGAGGAAAAAATAAAAATCAGAGAGGGAGGCAAACCATGAGCGACTCTAACGCGAGGAAATGAACCGAGGGGTGGGGGGATGGGTTAGCCCAGTGACCGGCACCAAGGAGGCCCATGATGTGGTGGGCAGTGGGCGTTCTATGCAGCTGAGGAGTCGTTAAACTCGGCTTCTGAAACTAAAATGCACTGTATGTTAACTAAAGTGAATTTAAATTTAAAAAGTACTGAAGATGGAATAAATAAATAAATCTTTAAAAAAAGAAAACCCCAAAACAGGTTGGGGGGAGGAGTGGAATAGCTTTCTATTTCTGTAAATGCAGAAGCAGATGTGAGACCCCAGCTGCTGTCTTTAAGGCAGACACGTTCATCTGTTGTCCTTTTGGTTGAAGTGTGAATCTGGCCCTTCCTAGATGAGGGGAGATAGTCACCCACCTTCTCAGACAGGGTGGGTCCACGTCCAGTAAGTGGTGCGGTGGTTGCAGAGGGCTTTCTGCAACCGTGTCCTGTGAGCTTTCTGGATGTGGGTGCGTTGGAACCCAGTGGTGGTGAACTTGGGGTGGCTCTTCCCCCGTGTGATCCTGTTACCTCCTGCATGGGGAGAGGTCTGCCCCATACGGGCTCTCCAGCCTGCCCTTCTTGCAAACGTAAGCTCACGCTACAAAATCTAGGAAACCACTTGTTAGTACCGTGGATGGGGGGGCTTTAAACCACGTAGCTATGGAGGCCAGCAGTCCGCGTTCATGTCTGGCAGGGCTGTTTCTGATGAGGGCCCTCTTCTTGGCTTACACGTGGCTGCCTTCCCTCTGTGTCCTCACGTGGCGGAGAGTGAGCACAGTACGCTGTCCGGGGTCTCTTCAAGGACCAACCCTGCTGGATCAGAGGCCCATCCTCACATCCGATGGCACTAATTCTTCCTGCGAAGGTCTGTCTCCAGATACAGTCACATTGGGGTTAGTGGCTTAGCACGTGACTTCTCAGTTCATGGCGATGTCAGCACTGATTTCACCAAACGGGTCCCAAGCGCTGGGAGCTTTTTATTAGCAGTAATCACGGGGTCGTCCTGGTCTGGAGCCACGTATTGCTTGGTGCCACTCGTCCTATAACCAAAGACAGAAGTCTTCTCTTAGAAAAAAAAAAAAAAAACAATTTAAAAAGTTTAAAATGAATTTAAAACGTCTCAAAATTCACCAAAAACTAAAGCTAGCCACATATTAAGTACATCTCCTAGGTTTTCTTCAGATAGAATTTTAAAAAACTGATTAAAATCAGAAAAAGATAAATGCTGCGTCACTCATATGTGGAATTTAAGAAACAAAACAGATGAACATAGGGGAAGGGAAGGAAAAAGAAAGTCAGATGAAAGCAGGAGACAAACCATGAGAGACGCCCAACTCCAGGAAACGAGCAGGGCTGCTGGCAGGGAGGGCAGGGCGAGTGGACCGTGAGCGCTCGGTGTCCCGTGCAGCTGACGGAATCTGAATTCTGCCCTGAAACCAAGGCTACACTATGTGTTAACGGAGTTGATTTTAAATGAAAAAAAACCAAAACCTGATTAAGAAAGAATATAATTTCCAAGATAAAGGCAGAAACACTGCTGTCCTCTATCAGCTTAAACGATACTGCAGGTTTACCAAGCTCCTGGTGTCAGATCCAGATTTTCCAAAATTCAAGTTTTTTACTCAGAAGCCCGAGTTTTGCTGTTACAGGAGGCACAGGTGGTCGTCTGGAGGAGACGCCTGTGTGGGGCCAGACAGGAGGCCCGTTGCCCCCGCATCACCCCCTTCCAGCCCGTGTGTCCTGTGAGAGCGGGGCTGCTGCCCCGGGAACCCTCGGGCCCTCTGGGCCGTGGCTGGCACCCCCGAGTGCCCCCTTTGCTCACGTGGGAAAGGAGAATGGCGTCCGGGGAGCACATGAGTGAGATCCGGAGCGAGGCCCAGGGCCCCTGGGAGGAGGGGACGCCCACCTGGACTGTGGGGTGCTGCGCCCCGGGACTCGCTCTGTCAGCCCGTGTGCAAGCTGGAGAACTGGAATAATGCTGTCCGGTCCCCGGAGCGTTGCTGCGGAAGGGTCCCAGGCACCCGCTGGGATCCCTGGGCCCCCGTTCTCCCCCAGCAGAAGCACAGAGAGCAGGAGGCGTCAGGAACGTCCCCGTCAGTGGGGTCCTGTGAAGGTGGGAGGGGTGAGGATGTCGGGGGACTGACGGGGTCCCGCGGGGGAGGACACAGTGCGGCCGGACGGCACCAGCTCAGGAGAGGAAGGTGACGGTCATGCCCGTCCTCCTTCCCAGTGGGCTTCGTGGGTCCCCGGAGCCTCACCCGTGTCCGTGCCCTGTGGTGGGCCGCAGCCTCATTCGTCGTTCAGCTGGGCTGGGGGTGCTGGGGGGGCAGGCCCGCCACGTCTCTGTTTTGTCGGTGTGGCCAGACCACTCCCTGCTTATGCTGAGGGCTTCTTTTAACCCGACGTGGCTGTGGGGTTTTACCAGCTGTCCCTTTCCCGTTGGTCAGGACGTCGGTCACGTTTCCCTTCTGAAGGAGTGACGTCCCGCGTCATGCTGGCTTTGCAGACGTCTGGGGTTAAGCCTGGGCCGGACCCTGTGGAGTGGGGAGGCCTGCCCTGGACCCGCCCCTTGCGTCTGGGGACCGGGGGCACAGGGCAGGGCTCTTGGGGAGCAGGCGTCTGGTCCCTGCTTCTCCACGGGCCGGGGGTCTCTGGCTGCGGGACCGGAGTCTGGCTGGGGTGGCTGCTGGGACCTTGAGCAGCCCCTCCTGACGCAGCCCCGACCCCGCAGAGCAGTGACATGCCCCTGGATGAGCTGCTCGCCCTCTACGGCTACGAGGCCTCGGACCCCGTCTCGGAGCGGGAGAGCGAGGGCAGCGACACCGCCGCCAACCTCCCAGACATGACTCTGGACAAGGTGAGCGGACGGGGGCAGGGCTGGGAGGACAGGTCAGAGCGGCCTTGGGCTGGGGCCGGGGGGAGGCGTGGAGACCAGCGAGGAGGAGGAGGGGGCGGCTCTGCTCTCCGGGTCCCGACAGGGCAGGGCACAGTGGGGTGGGCTTCGTCCCCGGGGGGGAAGACCCCCTGCTCCGTGGGGAGAGCTGGGACTCTCGTTCCCAGCCCGCAAGGCTCGCAGGGGCCCCTCGCTGGCGCCCGGTGCCCGGCCTCTCTGTTGGCAGAGGGGAAGGATGGCCCAGGCACACGGGTGTCCGGAGGGGGCCCGTGGTGTCGGTCCCCGTGTTTGTGCCATTGCTCGCTGTGACTGCTTTCTGGGGGCTGTGGAAACAAGCCACGGCCGGTTTTCTGCTTTCTCGTTACAAGGAACAGATAGCGAGGGACCTGCTTTCCGGGGAAGAAGAGGCAGAGACACAGTCATCGGCTGACGACCTGACCCCGTCCGTGACCTCCCACGGGGCCTCCGACCTTTTTCCCGGCCAGAGCGGATGTAGGTGTCTCTCTGCCCTGCCCTTGGCCAGGCGGGGCTCAGGGGCTGCAGGCGGGAGGGGGCCCCGAGCTGGGCCCGTGTGCCCAGACGCGTTGGACCCTGAGGGCGCCCTGGCCTCAGTGGGCGCTCCCTGGGGCTTGCTGCCTCCCCCTGACCTGTGAGCAGAGCCATAGGGGTGGTGGCTGACCTGAGGAGGGGGCAGGTTGGTTCCTGACACTGCAAGTCTGTTGGATCCGGGGCAGCGCCTGGAGACCGTCCTCCCCTTGGCCCTGGCCGCCGGCGCCGCCTGCGTGGCTGGCCGCGGAAGGTGCCGTGGTTTAGGACCCGGTGGGGTGGCCCCTGCCGTGGGGTGGCCCCTGCCGTGGGGTGGCCTCCCGGGTCCCCAGTCCCGTGCCCGTTGCACAGTCCTCTCTGGCCAGGGGTGGGCCATGCTCTGTCTCAGGAAGGGCACAGTGCGGGGGTCGGGGAACGGAGAGCTGGGGGGAGGTAGGGAGATGCGCCAGGGCCCGCTAGCCTGGGTGGGCCACCCAGGACCACGGGCGCAGCTCAGCTGCTCTCCTCTCCTGGAAGCCGGCTTCCTGGCCAATGCAGACGAAGAGCGTGGCTCCCCCACGTCGTCCGACACGGAGGAGGACCCCCTTCCTGCCAACAAATGTAAGAAGGTGAGTGGCTCTGACCCCCGAGCTGGGCTGGGGACTTGGGACTTCCGCAGCAGCTGTGGCCCTGTGCTGCGGCCCGAGCTCCCGTCTTGCGGCCTTTGGGCTGGACCTCAGCAAACTGGGGTCCTCAGGCCTCACCCTCCCTTGCCCTGAGACTGGCCATACCAGATAGACACTGTCACACCCACCCATGTTCTCCTCTGCCTCTCATGCTCAGGACCCCAGGACTGGTCTGTGGGCAGATGGCACAGAGGAGCCCTGGGCTCTGGCGGCCACCCTGGGGCCCCCATCAGCCCAGACTCTCTCGGGCCTTTGCCTTCATAGGAGATCATGGTTGGGCCTCAGTTCCAAGCCGATCTCAGCAGCCTGCAGTTGGACCGCCATGGTGAGAAGTGTAAGTGGGGCCTGGTGGTTGTGGGAGACGGGGAGGAGGAGACACGAGAGCCCCATTAGCCAGGAAGGGACTGGCTGCCTGCCTCCTGGAGCATTTCCCAATCCTTGGAGGGAATCTGAGGGGCGGGAGGACCTGGCGGCATCCCCTCCCTGCTCCCTGTTCCTCAGCTCAGCTGTGTGGTCCTGCCACCAAGTGCAGCCAGCACCCCAGTCCCCTGTCCTCGGCTCCCCTTGCCCCCGGCTCCGTCCACCCCATCCTGCCCAAGCCCCTGTCCTCGCCTCTGCGGGCATGCTCACCTTTCCCCGCTCGGGTCTTGCCACATCTGGGCCTTGTCCCAGGTGTCCTTCAGAGATGGGTGTCCCCCTGCCGTGTGCTGTCCTTAGGGGGCTTGCATCCCCAACCTCATGTCCCCGCTGGAACGTGGAGCGAGGCCTGTTGTCCTTTGAGATAGGCACTGCCGTGTTTGCTTACAGGCGAAGAGACGGGGAGTGAGGTCACCTGGCCGTTGAGCCGAGTCTTGTCTTCTGGCCCCACAGGCCCTGCGGGCTGGGGCCGGCACCCGGGGCTCAGGAGTCTCCCAGGATGATTCAGCCACTGAGACTGGCAGTGAGGGGGGGCAGATGGAGGAGACGGGGCCTCTCAGCAGAGACGCGGAGGCCCTGGGCTGGAAGCTGGGACGTGGTCTTGGTGGCATGTGCTTGCTGGGCCGTAAGCGGTGGTGGGGGGAGGCAGGACGGGGCCGGTCAGCCGGGTCGTGGAACCGTGGGGTGAGTCTCTATGAATTGAGGACGTGTGACACCCTCCCCCAGAAAAGGGCAGCCGTGCACACTTCCTAGCCTCTTTCTCAGAGAGTCCTGAGCACGTGCAAACCTCCTTCTGGAGCCCCAGCCTCTGGGCCTCTGCCTCTTCCAGGGAATGGGCAGCCCTTGGTCCCGAGGTGTCCCTCTGCCCCCCAGCAGAGGTTAAATCCATCTGTGTGGCACATGGGTCTCGTGGCCGTGGCGTGCTGTGTCCTGGAGTGTCTGTTGTGCTGGTGGTTGGTCGCACGGGTGTTTCTGTGCGGCTCCGAGTGGTCCGCGCTCCTTCTGGGATGGGTGATGGGACTTGTGGCCCTGTGGGTGCACGTCCCACACGTGCTGCGGGGTCTGTAGCTGAGGAAGGGAGACTCGTTGTGGCTTTAACTGGCGAGTCTCTGGGACTAGGTTGACCAGCTGCTGCAGACGTCTGCTCGGGCCCCTGCTCCAGGCTCTTTCTGCAGCTTTAAGTGGAATCGCCTTTCTCCTCCTGATCTGTGTGTGTCCCTCTGGCGTTCTGGACACGAAGCCGCCATGGGCTGTGGGCACTGCTGTCTGGTCGTTAGCGTTTGCTCCGGCCGTGCCGTGTGTGTGGGCCGTGAGGGCGTCCTCGCAGAGACCGTTGCCGCCACCTTCCCCGCTGCGCGGGAAGCAGTGGCCTCGCTTGCACGTCGAGTGTGTGGTTGGGGCGCGGGTCAGGAGGCCTCCAGCCTGTGCTTTGCTCCGGCCCCGCGCCGAGTGGCCCGTCGCACGTGCGTATGTTGGGCTTCTGCCCGCTGGTCTCTCGTGGGACCTGGCTGTCCCCGCGCTGTCTTTGTCATCGTGAGTGGCGTTGGAGACGATGTCTGTCCTCCAGCCTCGCGCCTGGTCGTGCGTCCGTACAAGCCCCTCGTGAGCTTGTCGGTGGCTCGATTTCGATGAGGGCTGTGCCGAACCCCGAGGTTACTTGTGGGTCGTCCTTATGGGGACGCCGTCGACCCCTGCAGATCCCGCGTGCCGTTCCCCTCCTGAAACTGGCGGTGGTGTTTCTGCCGCAGGCCTGCACGCGCCTCATGGCCCGTCTGTGCTGGTGCGAACCATCTTCGGAAAAATGTCACGTCGGTCGGTTTCTCTTAGTAGAGATGCGGTTTGTTGTTGCGGTTGTCCTGTGCTCGTGAATTTGCTGATCTCGCTTTTCCACGTGGGTGCTCCGCAGGTCCTTTTGTGTTTTCCTACGTCTGTGACCGCGTGACTTGTGAACGATGGCTTTACGTCGTTTCTTTGCAGTCTTCCCGTCTTTGATCTCCTTTCCTGGCCGTGTCATGCTGGTGACACCCCCGGACGGAGCGAGAAGAGAGGAGAGACTGCATTGTCTCGTCCCGGACTTGGGGGACGTGTCTGTGTCCCACATAGTACGTCCTTGGCTGTAGGCTGCTCGGGGCGCCCTTTATTGGACGAGAGCGTTTCCTTCTGTTGGCGGTGGGCGGTTTGAGTGCTTCTCTGTGCTCTGGCGCTGGTTGTTTTCTTCTCCTTCCCCCTCGTGTTGATGGGCTTTCAGATCCTAAACCAGCCCTGGGTTCTGGAGCGGACGACGCTACCTGGGCACGAAGTGCCGTCATCGGTGGTCCGGGTGTCCTCCTTCTCTGCCAACGTGGGAACCAGGAGGGCCCCCCGGGGGTGCCCTGGCAGGCGCTTCTGACACAGCTGTCCCCGGGGGAGCGGGAGAGCCCCAGCCGTGCCCGTGACGTGACCCCGGCCCTCCCTGTCCGCAGTCTATGAGAATGATGACCAGCTTCTCTGGGACCCCAACGTCCTTCCTGAGAGGGAGGTGGAGGAGTTCCTGTACCGGGCGGTGAAACGGAGGTGGCACGAGATGGCGGGGTCGCAGCTCCCAGAGGGAGAAGCTGTGAAGGACAGTGAGCAGGTGGGGCTGTCACCCAGGTGCGCAGCACCAGAGCGTCCCAGGTTGAAGGGCAACGGCTCACATGTCTGCGGGGACCGTGCAGGGGCAGGAGGGGAGGGGGTCAGGCACGAAGGGGCACGGGGAATGCAGGGCCACCCCAGGAGGGCGGTGGGGAGGACTGCCATGAAGGTCCTGCCCAGTGTGGTCATGTGATGGTGGCAAATGCAGATGAGAAATCCTCATTATGGGGGAAATGATGGTATGAGCACCCCAGTGTCCCCACCCCTGAGACTGGTGTGAACCCTCCCGACATTGCCGCCCCCGAGAGTGGTATGAACCCTCCTGATGTCCCAGCCCAACAGTGGTGTGAACCCTCTTGACCTCCTCGCCCCTGGGAATGGTGTGAACCCTCCCGACGTCCTTACCCCTGAGACTGGTGTGAACCCTCCTGACATCTCCACCCCTGAGAGTGGTGTGAACCCTCTTGATGTCCTCACCTGAGATTGGTGTGAACCCTCCTGGCATCCCTGCCTGACAGTGGTGTGAACCCTAACCCGACATCCCCACCCTGGGACTTGTGTGAACCCTCCCGCCGTCCTTACTCCTGACGCTGTTGTGAACCCTCCGGATGTCCTCACCTTGAGAGTGGTGTGAACCCTCCCATCGCCCCAGCCTGACAGTGGTGTGAACCTTCCCGATGTCCCCGTCCCTAAGATTGGCTGGAACGCCCCCATCCCCGCCCCTGTAGTGTGACCACCCTGTGACATCCCTGTCCCCGGAGGGTGCTGTGACTGCCCCCTGGTGTCCCTGCCCCACAGGGTGGTGTGAACACCTCTGGCTGTTTTTCTGGGGTGGGTGGGGTGGGTGGGGTGAGGTGGACAGGCGGGAAGTCTGTGGCTTCTCCTCAGGCGCTCTATGAGCTGGTGAAATGCAATTTCAACGCAGAGGAGGCCCTGCGGAGATTGCGGTTCAACGTGAAGGTGATCCGAGGTGAGCGTGTGGCCGCGGCCCTCCCTGCCCTTCGCTGTCACCGCGTTCCGGCTGCCGCTGACGCCCCGGTGCCCTGCCTCTGCTTGCAGATGGGTTCTGTGCTTGGAGCGAGGAGGAGTGCAGGAACTTCGAGCATGGCTTCCGAGTGCACGGGAAGAACTTCCACCTGATCCAGGCCAACAAGGTGCGGACACTGCCCACCCTCCTCCCGCCAGGTCTCCCAGGGGCGCTCTGGGGCTGGGCGGGGTTCAGGAGACCAGGCACCCGTCACCCCCCACCGTGGGTGCAGCTCACCTTGCCGGCCTCAGGGCAGGCTCCCCGGAGCTGTGGCTGAGCCCCAGTGCCCACCTCTACTCTCCCCATGCCCTTGGATGTCTTGTTCTGGTCTCTGCTGATGCCTGCTGGGCTACCTTCCCGTCCCCAAAACAAGGGCTCCAGATACTGCTTTGGGGGTGAATGTCAGTAGTCTTTTCTGTTTGAGGTCCTTTGGCCTGGCCTTGCCATCTCCTCGGTGCGGGGCCTAGGGCCCATGCCGCAGGGCTGACCCCTTAACTGTGACCCTACTCGCAGCCCCCGATCTCCTGATTTCCTCCAAGGACATGGTCCTTCTGCCATCTGCCGCAGACTGATGACAGGGGGCGCTGCTGACCGCAGGTTCTCCTGCCTTACCCTAGACCTGGGTCACCGTTGGCATCTGCACGTCCCATGGTGAGGCCGTTTGCCTGTGGCTCCGTGCATGATGCCCAGAGCCCTGGCCCCTCAGCTGTGCGGTATGGGACGTGTGCCTGGCGTGTTCCTGTGGCTCTGTCTCAGTTTCTCTCTGTCCCTCTCCCTGGGGCTCCCCCACCACACCTCTCCTCTCATTCTGTCATCCTGTCCTGGGGTCCGTCGCCCGGGCTCCTTCTCACAGCTCCCGGCAGTGTAGGGAGTTGGGAAGGCCCTGGCAGAAAGCGGGCTCACGTGTGGGCCTCAGTGCCTTCTCTCAGGAGCTTGGGGGTGATGGAGGGGCCTGCTTGGGGCTGCTGTGGGGACAGATCATGCTCAGCAGTCTGGGCCCAGCGCGGCATTGGCTCTGTGCCTCGTGGCCTTACGTGGTTCCCTGCGTGCTGTTTCCGCCACGGCCCTGGCCACTTCTGTGTCATTGGCACAATGCCTTTGTTCCCTTTGTGCCCACCCACCCTGGTGATGGCTGTGGCCTCCCTGTCCATGCATTTCAGGCTCTGCTGGAGCCAGCCCCGGGGAGACCACAGAGGACTGGACTGGCAGGACACGTGTGTTGAGGGGGCTCACTGAGCAGATAGATCATATGTGGGCCTTGTTCCTGCTGTGCTGCAGGCCCTCCCTGGGCCCCAGCGTCCTGTCCCTCATTCTGGCAAACAGTGCGGGGACTCCAGTGCCGTTGCCGGCCAGGTGGGGGGGATCCTCCAAAGTGGGAAGATGCCCCGAATCATTAGATTTCTACGAGTTTCTTCTGATTGAAGTGGGGTTGGCACACAGGTCCCGTTCGTGTCAGACCTGCATCAGGTGTGCGGGGTCGGGCTGGATGGCTCCCGGTGTCAGCAGGCAGCACGATGGGTGTGGTCACCCTCTGTGGCGTGCGACACTGTCACAGAGTCACCGAGTGTGTTCCCTGTGGTGGTCATTGGGTCTCCGTGATTTATATTCTGCCCTAAGAGGTTTGGCATGTGGGGTCCGGCTGCACGCTGGGCACGTGTTTGTGGCCACTTTTCCAGGGTACTTCACGCATGAGGAGTTTTTTTGGTTTTCTGTGTCATGTAAATATGATCTTGAGTTGGGTTCCCAAAAGCATAGTGTGTCCTCTCATGGCTTGTTCGCCCGCGTGAGCAGCTCTCCCGCAGACTGTCAGTGCGAAGCGTGGGCTCACACGCTGTCCCCTCTGGGCAGGGGGGCTGTCCTGGGGTCTGCACCGGGGTTGTCTCTCCCCGTCTGCTGCCTGTGAGGGGCGGGGTGATGCCGCTGTCTCCGGGACCTTGTGGTCAGGGGCAAGGAGGGTGGATACCGGACACTTGGGCCTGAAGTGAAGGACAGGGTGCCAGGTCCACGCCAGTAGGTGGGGGGGTCTCTGAGACAGGTGCCGTCCTGCTTTAGGTGAGGGGATGTGCCTCGGGCGGGTTGGAAGCCGGTGGCGGGGGCTGTAGGCGGAGTCTTGACTTGACCAAGCGCGGTGGTGCTGGGACCATCCCCACTTGTCTGGAGGTGACGCATCTCCTGTCCCGCAGGTGCGCACACGGTCTGTGGGGGAGTGTGTGGAGTACTACTACCTGTGGAAGAAGTCGGAGCGCTACGACTACTTCTCCCAGCAGACGCGGCTGGGCCGGAGGAAATACGGCCCGTCGGGAGCCACGTGCGTGCGGCAGGCTCCCAGGGCCCTGGGGTGGGGAGGGTGGGGAGGTTGGGCGTCCCGGGCAGGTGTCTCCCCTTCACATCGCGCTCTCCCCACAGGGACGCAGAGCAGGACCTGGACAGCAGTGACCCTGATGGCACTGGCCGCCCCCGCTCCTCACCACCCCTGGCCCCTGCAGCTGACGGCCTGGGCTCCGAGCAGGACCCCTTGGCACGGATGCACACAGGTGAGAATGTGGGGCAGGTCCCTGCCTGTGGGGGTGTCCTCTTCTCCTTGGTACCCTCATCTGGGCCCCTGGGCTCTACCCCAGAGAGTGGTCCATGCGGTGTCGTACGTGAGTGGCCACGGGGACTTGCTGGCTTATTGTGTGGCAGGGTACTTACTACATGTGACCTGTGGCCCTGGGTGCCACGTGGGAGGGCACGGGGGTGTCAGAGGCTCCCTGGCATCTGGGTTCAGGGCCACATAGGAGCAAGACAGGGCCGGCTCGGCACTGGAGTTTGTGCCCATGAGCATGGAGGTAAGCCTCAGGACTGCAGCTCTGAGTCTGCCGCGCGCTGGGGTTTCGATTGTGCCAGAACCTGGTCAGTTCAGTGGTTTGCTTAAAGGGGGCCACACCTGCCTACTTGTGGCTTTGCGTATCGCACGTGCGTGCAGAAGCGTCTGACGTCTCACTCACATTCACGTGCGTTTTGCCTTCAAGCTTCCCTTACTCTGTTTTGTTTGAATTTCTTTGAACCCTGCTGTGTTCTGGTCACGATACCCTCCCAGTTCGGGGCCGGTAGCCTAGGCGCACTGTGTCTGTATGACGGGTTTCTTCGGTGTGTGTGTGACGCCTGGTGATGGCACCTCCGTGTGGAGGGTCCTCAGGCTTGGCCGGACCCGTAGAGGTCGGGTCGGAGCCCGGTGCCGGTGGCAGCCTGAAGGCATGAGTGTGATTTTAGCCGGGCACGCTTCAGTTGGGAAGGCTGGGTCCCCGGGGAGCTGGCGTGGGTGCTCTGAGGGTCCAGCCTCAGCTGTGTTCTCCTCGCAGAGCTGCTCAGTGTGGCCAGCGAGGCCAGCAGTGTCGGTGAGCCTGGGGAGAGTTCCGACAGCCTCCTGCCCTCGGATCCGGGGCCTTGTCCGTTCCAGCAGCTGGATGCGCCCCCAGCCGTGCCCCTGCCCAGGCGGCCCCCTGGCCTGGTGGAGCCAGCCTTCTACCCCCCGGCCACAGCGCCTCCGGAGCCCGGCAGCAGCCCGAGACTGGCTGTGGACTTGGCCCTGCCTGGGGCCCTCCCTGAGGAGCTGCCCCTCATCGCCAGCCGCGTGGATGTGAACGGAGAGGCCGAGGAGGTCGTCGCTCCCGCCCAGGTGGCCTTGTCTGTCACCGAGTTTGGACTCATCGGCATTGGGGATGTGAATCCCTTCCTGGCCGCCCACCCAGCGTGCCCAGGCCCCGGGCTGCACTCGGAGCCCCTGTCACAGTGAGTGCGGCCCCTGCCCTGGGTCCCCCTGCCGCGGGTCCCCCTCAGCCTCGGGCTGCTCTGTGGAGAGGGAGGGCTGTGCCCCGAGGACGGCTTGGCCACATGCAGCATCCTCGGTTGGTTTCTTTACTTTTATTTTCTACTTTTAATTTGGCTTATTTATTTTTTTGACTAGGTAATACATTCATATGGTTCAAAATCCAAAAAGGTACAAGTGGGGCCAGTGCCAGGCTCCTCCCACCCCTGTCCCCACCACCAGCCCTCCCCAGGCGCCCAGGACAGTGCTGCCTCCGGGGAGCTTGTCCACCAGCACTAGTGAAAACATGGTCTGCTGGGGGGGCGAGGTCGGGAGCCACGGTTTCAGCCTCCGGCACCCAGGCTGTGCCGTCCGTGGGACCGCACTGACCCTTTCTCGGTCTCTCCCCCTGCAGCTGTAACGTGATGACCTGTTGATCCCTGGCCGCAGGCGGGCGTGCGTGGCCCGGACTGGACGTGGGGCCGCCGCGGGGCCTGCCTCCGCCAGTCTTCCCGACCCTTCCCCTCCTCGTGGGCCTCGGGTAGCTCCTCCTCTGCTCCAGAACGCAGCAAGGACATGGCGCGCGGCGGCCGGGCCTGCCCTGCCCTCACACACAGCCTGGTGCCCTCGGTGCCCGGCCCCACTGTCCGTGCTGTCCAGGCTGCTGCCCCCGGCGCAGTACCCGGTGGGCGGCCAGAGGTGGAGGGCCCGGCCCCATGTAGCCAGCAGAGGTGAGGACGGTGTCCCTGCTCCCTCAGGGAGGTGGGGAGATGGGGCAGGGTGCTGCCCCCACCAGCAGCCTCCGCCCGGGCGCCCTCAGCACTCCGCTTGACTCCATCTCCCTGCCCCTGGCGGGGTCATGGGCTGCCCCAGCCCGGGGGTCGTGGGCAGCTGCTACTCCGTGCCAAACCCCGTGGGGCACAGAGCCATATACCTCGACGTCGGCCACGCCCGCCCTCGACCTCCACCCTGCTCTCCACTTCAGGAAACGCCGCACTTTACGCCCCGCCCTCTGCCCCCCCTCCGCCCGCCTCCCTCTCCCCAGCCCGGAGCAGCCTCAGGTGTGGGGTCGAGGAGACAGGTGACCTCCACCCCCCTTGGTACCAAGGCACCGTTGCCTGCAGCCCCGAGCGGCTGGCTCCAGCCCGTTCCCCTGACCCTGTGGGTCGTTCTTCTGTTGAAGCTCCCCAGCACGATGGTTTGGGGCCCTGGTCCTTCTCTTTCCCAGCTTCCCCCATTTTATTTATGTTTCTGTTTACAAATTGGAGTGGGGTCCTCCACGGGGCCAGGGCAGCGCTCCCCAACCCCGGTGTCGCCAGGAGAGGGTTTTGGATCGAGCGCATCTGCAGTCGGCCTCGACCTTCCCTCACCCCACCAAGGACCACACTGTGAAGTGAGAACTGCCTTGAATCCCTTGCTGTTTTATTTATTAAACTTGATTTGAAACCCATGGGTGCCTCGTGGTAGATGGGGGGGACAGGGTGTGAGGAGGTGCTGGGGGCTCGTCACTTGGTGGACCCTGTGATCTGGGCTGAGTTGTGGCCGAGATGGCACAGGGCTGTAGGGGGCTGGTCATGATGCTGCTTTGATGTGAGGTGGGCCAAGCCACAGCCAGTGCAGGGGTGGGGAGAGCCTTGGGTCCCATGGAGGAGGCCCAGGATAGAGGCTCCCACTGCCTGCGGCCCCTCCAGCACTCGCCGGCGTCCGTGGTCCGGATTTCGGCCACTCAACACGAGCATGGTGGGAGCTCTTCTGTGGCCGTGGCTTTTGAAGATGGCTGTGTGCGCCTGGTGCTCGCTTCTCCTCGGGGCTGTGGGGCCACGGCCGAGCTGGTCTGTCCCTGGATGGCTCCATGGCCGCCGTGTTCCTGCTCTGCCGGCCGGAGAAGGCCCCGCTCCTGCACGTGTTGTTTGTCTTAGGGTGGCTGGATTGAGGACTCCTGGTTGATGTTTGGTCCTGTGTCTGTTGTGTTTGCGGGGGGCAGGGCGGGTCTGTCCCCAAGGGTAGGCAGGTTGGCACGGATCCCCTTGTTCCTTTCCTGAGCCTGGGGCATCCTGGCTGCCATTGTCCCAATGTCTCTGCTGCCCCTAGTGTCCAGCTGCCCAAGGGGATGCCAGCCTGACGTGCGCCCGTCCCCCACGTTCTCTTACTCACTGCTGGTATATTTTGGTTCTAGTACGTGTACTTGGCTTTTTCCATTTCTCTACTGAAATTCTTCATTTTCCACTTTTTCCTGTAGACACTTTACCTGAATCTTTGTTCTTTTTGCCTGGGGGTCATTTCTGGATACTCCTCTTAACTGTTGCTTCTGGATGGTGGGTCCCCCTTTCTCTGGTTTTGCTGGTTGCCGTAAACGAGTCATTTTCCTCGTGTTGATGCGCACACACGAGGGCCCCGGCCGGGCTGTCCCGTGACTGGCTGCTGTGACAGTTGGCTTCTAGCTTCCTCGTGCTGAGATGGCAGCTGTGGCACCGGAAGCTGCAGCTCGCCTGTGCCCTCCCCAGGAAGCACGGGTCTTTCCAGCAGCTCCAGTGGGAGCCCTGGAGTGAGACTCGTGCCTGGGACTGAACGAGTGACCAGCCAGGCCTGGGTCAGCTGCCCACCTGCAGGTGCAGAACCTGCCTCCCTGGGAGGGGACGGGCTGCCAGGGACGAGAGCCGGGAGCGTGGGAGCGCGGAGGCCTGGGGCCGTGTGGGCAGATGCTGGGAGGCATGTTTGGGAAGAAGAAGGAGCGGAGTTGTGCTTGAGGGAGACTGACTGGGGCTGGACATGGCGGGGTGGGGGCGCCGTAGGGGAGCCCTCGCTGCGAGGACTGGCCTGTAAAGGAGTAAGTAGCTCATGTTCTCTGGCTGTGACTCCGGGCCCAAGCTGGCCTGGAGGGTCCCCGGCGCAGGCTGTGGGTGCTCAGCCATTCTTCAGTCACTAGGCCGTGTCACTGCCTGGTATCTGCCGGGTGCTGGCCCTGCCCCTGGAGCTCAGGGCTGGGGAGGGGGATGATAAGCAGACACAGAAATGGTGCTGGAACTCAGAGGAGGTGGTGGACACGGGGGTGTGGGGCAGGGGGAGGACTGTGTCCGAGGTGGCAGCTCAGCCCGAGATCCAGATTCGCCGATGCTGGCTTCTGACTCCAAGGTGACCCCAGGTGCCTGCTGCACCGTCTCCTGTTCCGTTAACCCTCCAGGTGCTTCCTAGGGAGTTGGGCTCCTGGTTGGGCAGGTCAGTCCCATCTCAGGGCCTAGGTGCGTTCCGTGCCTGTGACGCACACAGCCAGGCTGAGGCGGTGTCCATGCAGATGTCAGAGCCCCCCAGGGGTGCAGGCTCGACCCCAGGGGCAAAGCCCCAAGTCTGGGAGAGCTCCCGTTGCGGCCTCTCTGAGCCACGAGAGCATACTTTCAAGTAATCTCTGCACCCAACACAGGGCTCAAACTTAGCCCCCGGAGAAGCACAGAGAGGCCGGGAGCGGTGCCCTCGGGGCACCTGCTCTGTGCCAGGCACCCTTCTGCCCACCTCCCAGGCATCTCTCCCTTATCCCCATGGCACTTCAGGACACCCGGGGGCCCATCACTTTGATGAGAGCTGACCACCTGAGCTCCACTCCCTGGGGGGTCACCAGGCACCCAGGACTTGGCTCCGTCTCTAGGGGACACAGATGAGTCCCTGGGATCCAGCTGGGGCCTCATTCTGCCACCTGCAGGTCGGGGAGGAGCTGTCCACGTCCGGCTCCCAGCCCGGGTTCTGTCCCTCAAGCAGGCCTCACTGGCGTCGGGTTCTCTCTGTAAAGGGTTAAAGCAGATTCCAAGTATGAGGACTCCTTGCATGGGGAGGCCCCCAGCTAGCAGGGATGGGATCCCTGACCCCGATCCTAACCTTAATCCTAATCCTTGCTGCCCTCATTAGATTTTAATCCTGACTCTGCCCAGGTGTTTTAAGGACAGTGTGATGGGTCAGCAGGGAGGGTTTTTACTCCAGACCATGCAGGCCCTCGAGCACGGGAACAGCCCACGCTCCTTCCTGCCCACGGTCTCTGTGCCCTAGAGACCACCTGGGTCCCACCTCCCCTAGAGACCTCCTGGGTCCCACCTGTGCGCAGCCCAGACTCAGCCATCCCCAGCACCACACCTCCTCTGGCAGGCTCCTCCCAGCCAGGTCCCCACCCCACACCCAGCAGGTGCTCCGTGAAGAACCCCTCCTCCTCTCCACTCCAGTTCTCGGCTTCACTTTCTCTGCCCTGAGAATGAGCAGTCATCCCAGGGGACAGTGAGCAAAGCTCAGTAATGAGGAGGTCCGGTAACATTTCTGGAACGTTTTGCCGGGCGTCGTGGGTCCTGTTCACATATAACTAACTCACCAGGTGATTCTCACAAAAACGATGATCTGTTACGCACAGCGTGACCGTGTGAACCAGAGTGAAGGAGCTGGAGCTCCCCCCCTGGGGTCCGCCCTGCTCCGTGAGAGGCAGCGGGAAAGCCAGTGAGCAGAGCCAGAGCCCACCTGGCGTGAAGTGCTGGATCCAGCTGAGCCTGAATGTGGACCCTGCAGCAGACCCCGCCCCCTGAAAACCCTCCTTGGAGGAGGTCTGGGGACGAGGAGGAAGCTGCATTTTTTTAGGATGTGTGTCCGCCTCCCCCCCCCCCCGCCCCCGGCCCCCCATCCCCTCTCTGCAGGCGGTTGGAAAGCTGGTGGTTACTGGGAATGTGCCTCCCACACACCGTCTCCCCGCCACACCGCAGATGGAAAATCCGAGTCCAGGAGTTTCCATGCCGGCCGTTGTCATGCCCTGGCGGCGAGGAGGGGGGAGGTTTGTGGGGGAGGGCCTCCGCCTGCTCCTCGGAGCAGGGAAAATTGTCTGGGGCACAGAGGAGCTGGCCCTCAGACATCCCACCCCCCCAACCCTAATGGCCAAAGAGCTTGAGATCTGCTGTGCACTGTCCCCCAACTTCCAACAGCTTGGCTCCCTCCTGGAACCCCCTGCACCCCACAAATGCCGATTCCAGTCACCCTCCCAGGGAGCAGGGTCAGTGGGGCTCTGCGTAGAGGTCCCAGCTGCCTGACCTTGGGTCAGGGGCTTCCTGTCTCTGGGTCTGACTCCCTTAATCCCTAGAAAGGGCTGAGAAACATCCTGTTTCATGATGGCTGGAGGAGCTGGGCTGGTGAATGTGTGTTCAAGGTCAAGAGAGCAGACCCTGGGGCCCCCCTGGGTTCAAGGCCCAGCTCTGCTTCTTTCCACTGTGAGACCTTGGAAGAGGGATAGAACCTCACGTGCCTGGGTTTCCTGCCAGGTCGGGGCAGGGCTCTCTCCAAGGGTTCTCAGACGGATTCGGCCCAAAGGGTCTAGTCATGGCCCCTTGAGCCTCCTTGCCCCGGTTGGGAGCTCCTGACTGTTGGGCACGTCCCAGCTCAGGGCTCCCTAGGACCTAGCGAGGGTGAGGGGCGCGCACTCTTCACTCGTCTCGTTGTGAAGCTGGGACAGTGAGTGTGCTCCACGGGAGCGGGGCCGGGTGCCGACAGTCGCCAGGGTGGGTGTCGAGGGACCCGACCTTCCGAAATGCCGCGCTTCCCAGGAACGCCGGGGTTTGCAGCACTAGGCGTGGAGAAATCCCCTGCACTGAAGCCAGGACACAGCAGGTTTTGGGCCCTTCCAGACCCAAAGGTATCAGATGTATCCAGCCCCTGGGTACGAGGAGACCTGGGGACACGTCCTGCCGGGTCTGCCCTCCCGCGCGCTCCCCCCGACTGTGCGTGGGGCCCTTCCTCCCTTCTCGCCACCCGCCCCTCCCCGACTCAGCCGACCCGCTCTGCGGGGGCGCCCTGGACCGCTCTGGGGGAGCGCCGGCCGCAGACGACCCCTCTCGCCTCCAGACCCGCGTGGGGTCTCCCGCCGTCCCGCGGACAAACCCTCCACCCGGCTCCTCCCGACTCGCGGCGGCCGGGCGGGGCGGGGCCGGGGCAGAGTCCGCCCCCTGCCCTCGGGCTGCTCCGCCTCCGCCCCGCCGCGCCCCTGCCTTCCCCTCCACGCCCCGCCCCGCCCTGGCAGAGCCTGGCTCCGCGGCCATGTGACCCCGCGGCCGGGCCCGGGCGCGACGGGACGCGTAGGGGACCGGCGTCGGGGGTCGCGGGCGCGGCCCGGGGCGGGGGCGGGGGCGGCATGGAGCGGAGGTGGGTCTTCGTGCTGCTCGACGTGCTGTGCGTGCTGGTCGGTAAGAGCCGCGGGGACCCGTGTGTTTGGGAAGGACCCCGCCCCCGGCGGTTCCGCGCCGCGGGCCCCCGAAGGTTGGCTTGTGGGGGCGGGTCCGGGAGGCCCCCTGGGGGCGGGTGACCCCTCGGACGGCCCGCGCGCCCCGGTGCCTTGCGTGCGCCCTCCCGGGCCTCGGTTTCTCCTGGCCGTGCCAGGACCCCCGCCCGCGGCAGCAGGAAGCCCCAGCCGAGGGGTTGCACGCGCCTCCGGCCGCGCCCGGCCGGGCCAGTGATTCACGAGGGCGGCGGCCGGGGTTTGGGGCGCGGCCTGGATCGCCCGCGAGGACCTCCATCCCCTGTCCCGGGATCGACGTCCCCAGCGGGCACACAGCTGGTCGGTGGGAGGCGGACCCCCTTCTCGGGCGGGGGAGAGAAGGAGAGAAAGTCTGGGCCCCCGGCTACCCGCGCACCTGGCGCCTCGGGCGGCGCGCGCCAAACCTGTCGGGCGGGTTTGAGGGCCAGGCTGGGGGAGGGGGCGGCCCGAGGCCCCCTCCCCGCCCCTCCCCCAGGGTCCCGGGAACAAAGGCCGAGTGTTTGCTCTGGGGCCGTGCGGACAATGGCCTCAGAATTCTACCCCTGGCGCAGGGAGGGACACCTCGGGCCTAAATCGCACCCCGCCCCTCTCCCTCCCCGTCCCCAGATGGGGTTCCTGCTTTCCGCCGGGGTCGGAGGGGTAATCCTGGGTGGGTTGCAAAGGCCAGGCTCTCCTCCTGAGCGCCAGACCCCTATACCTGACCCCTTTGGAGTGGGCTGGTGGGCAGCAGGAAGAAGTGCCGGGGGGCGTCTGGCCCTAGGCGTCATTTATTGAATGCCTGTTACTATATTTAAACGTCTGCGTGGCACCTACTGTATGCCAGACCAGAAGTGTCAGGCGCACAATGAAACTGTTCCCACCAAGCACTCGGTCAGGGAGGCTCCGCTTGTCCAGAGAGGTTCCGGTGCCTGCGGGAGGTCACACAGCAGCTGCCGGTGGTGCTGAGATGAGCTTGTGTGTTGGCTGCTTCTTGCTGCTGGGTGCTAGAGGCCCAGGCAGACCTGGTCCCATTCTTGAAGCTTCCACCCATAAAAAGTTGAGTTCCATGGGGTGACCACGGGGCCCGGATGAAGATACGGGGTGTGTGTCGGGGTGGGGGTTGTAGAGGCAGGGAGGTTCTGCAGGTGTCTGCCATGAGGGCATGAGCCAGTGTCTCAGGCAGAGAAGAGGCCCCAAATCCAGTGCTGGGAGCTGTGCTTCCTGAATCCACAGCTCCGGTTCCAGGCCGGGGTGACAGTCTCCAGTGGGAGGGGCTGGGGCTGGGGCTGGGTGGGGTGGCAGGAGCTGGGAGGCGGACCTCGCTGCCCAGGCCCCTTGTGCCAGCCGCTGCCCTGCTCCAGCTGCAGGGATGAGGCTTGACTTGCTGGCTCAGCGTATTGTGGCTCTGCCCTTCCTCAACCCCCAGCGTTGGGGGTTCTCCTCTCTGGCTTTTCTGCCTCCCGCCTTGCGCTCACTCAGGGCAACCAGAGGGACCCTACGAAACATGCTCCGTTCCTTTGCTCCAAACTGTCTGGTGTGTCCCGCTCACTAACTGCACCATTCCCAATCTTAGCATACCCTCCCCGCCCCCGCCACCCCCACTTCCGCCCTCCAGCCCTCCAGGCGTGGGCCCACCTCCCGACCTTTGCACAGGCTGGTGCTGCTGCCTGGCTTTCTTCCCCAGATCTGCCCTGACCTTCCTTAGCTCCTTCAAGCCACCGTCTGTGTGTGGCCCACCTGACAAGCCCGCAGCCCCCGATCCCAGTCGCCATCCCTCACTGTCACGGCTCCATGGGCAGACCTCTGCGTTTCCCCACACTCAGCGCTAAGTTTGGTCTTTGGGGAGGAGGACTTGGCCTTGCCCCCGCCTCCTGTGGTATTCAGGCCACGGAAGAGTCAAACCCTTTCCTACTTGTCCACCTGTCGTGCTGGGGGCAAAGGGCACTCTGCCCGTGTTTGTCACCCTCAGCTCAGCAGGGCCCTGGGACCCCAGAGCCACAGCAGTGCCTGTCATTATTCTGCCATGCTTGTGGCTCCTGAAAGTGTCTTTGGACCGAGATGTGGAGGCCCTTGGTCTGCCCAGCGGTCTTCAGGCATCTCAGCTCAGGGCCTTAACTATGGTGTGTCCTGGGCTCTCCCGCTGGCCTTAGAGCGGAGGGAGGGAGGTCTCTCTAAGCGGTGCTTGTGAAACACCTGCCCAGGCTGAGCCCCGGGAAGGCTCCGGGGACAGCCCTGAGCATGGTGGAGCCTGCTCAGTGCTCAGGGGACTCAGGTGTCACGCGGTGCACACACATGAACGGTGCCAAGGGACACACAGAACAGACGTTTCATTCTGGGAGAGTGGGGCCAGGGCGGGCGCTCAGGAAGGCCGGATGGAGCTCAGGTTGGAAGGACGGCTGTCAGAGCGGTTTTGGGTGGTGAGGACGTGTGCCGGGTTTCTGGTGCCGGGAAGGAGACAGGATGCCGGAGAGAAGTGAAGAAGGGGAGGGGGTGGGATAAGTGGGGTGGGGGCTGCGCGATGGGCCTGGGAGGACTTGGGTGTTTATCTGAGGATGATGGGGAATCACGAGGGGCTTTTGAGGGGCCAGCGGCCTCCCAAGTGTCAGGTTGGTGCGGAGGTGAGAAACCAGGGGTCCCAGGCGGTGGCCAGGGCCATGCGAGGGATGCTGGGGTCATGTCACTGGGGGGAACCGCATGGCCACTGGCTTCTCTCCCCTGCCCCCAGCCTCTCTGCCTTTTGCCATCCTGACGCTTGTGAGCGCCCCGTATAAGCGAGGGTTCTACTGTGGAGATGACTCCATCCAGTACCCCTACCGTCCAGACACCATCACACATGGGCTCATGGCTGGGGTCACCATCACGGCCACCGTCATCCTTGTAAGGCAGGAGAGGCTTGGAGGCTGGGGGGCGGGCTGGTCTTCGGGGAAGAGGACCCCTTTGGGCGCTCCCAGAACCCCAGCCGACTCAGGGGGGCTGGCAAGCCGGACCCCCTCTCCGTGGGGAGGGCCGAGGCCCAGGGAGCCAGGGCCGGTGGAGGCGCCCGCAGCTGGCGTCCCAGCCCGGCCGCGAGGCCCCTCAGCTGCTCGCTGTGCAGGTCTCCGCCGGGGAGGCCTACCTGGTGTACACGGACCGCCTGCATTCCCGCTCCGACTTCAACACCTACGTGGCAGCCATCTACAAGGTGCTGGGCACCTTCCTGTTCGGGGCCGCCGTGAGTCAGTCGCTGACGGACCTGGCCAAGTACACGGTCGGCCGCCTGCGGCCCAACTTCCTGGCCGTGTGTGACCCTGACTGGAGCCGCGTGAACTGCTCCGTGTACGTGCAGGCGGAGAGGGTGTGCAGGGGGAGCCCCGCCAACGTCACCGAGTCCAGGTGGGTGTCGGGTCAGCCCTCCTGGGGGCCCCCGGCCGCGGACACCCCCACCCCTGGGGGAGGGGCCTCAGGAGCTGGGTGTGGGAGAATGGGAGGTTAGGAGGCGACTCCCTGAGCAGAGGGTTAGGGGTGAGGCCGGTGGGGCTGGGCCCTGTGGACAGGCAGGTGTGGGGGCGTGAGGCTGGGCGGATGGCGGCCCTCTGTCCTGCTTCTCTGCTCTGCGCTCTCATGGTCTCTGATCAACTTTTCAATTAATTGCCGTTCTTATTTTCTTTATTATTATTATTTTAAAAAAGATTTTATTTATTTATTTGAGAGAGAGACAGAGTGAGAGCGCATGAGAGGGGAGAAGGTCAGAGGGAGAAGCAGACTCCCCGTGGAGCCCGGGGCCCGATGTGGGACTCGATCTTGGGACTCTGGGATCATGAGTCGATCAACATGGGATCAACATGCCGAGCAAGAGGCAGTTGCTTAATCAACTGAGCCACCCAGGCGCCCTGTTTTATTTTTTAAATAAGTTTTGCAACACATAAAGTTTTTTAAAAAGATTGCATTCATTGAGAGAGAGTGGGCACCAGTGGTGAGGGGGGAGGGGCAGAGGGAGAAGCGGGCTGAGCCCGACGGTAGGACTTGATCCCAGGACCCCGAGATCATGACCTGAGCCAAAGGCAGATGCTTAACCGTCTGAGCCACCCAGGTGCCCCCTTACTTTCCGTTTTAAAAGATTGAAATAAAATTCATGTAGCTTGGGACACCTGGGGGGCTGAGTTGGTGAAGCCTCTGCCTCTGGCTCAGGTCATGATCTCGGGGTCCTGGGATTGAGTCCCGTGTTCGGCTCCCTGCTTGGCAGGAAGCCTGCTTCTCCCTCTGCCTCTGCTGCTTCCCCTTTGCTTGTGCGTGCACGCCCTCTCCCTCTCTCTCTTTCTCTCTCTGCTCAAATAAACAAATAAATAAAATCTTTAAAAAATATTCGCATAGCTAAAATTCACTAGTTTAACTGTTTTAATGTGTACAGTTCTCTGGTTTTTAGTTATTCCCAGTGTTGTGCATCCCCACTCTCTTAGTCCAGAATATTTTCATAACCCCAAAAAGAAGCCCCATGTCTGTTGTTAACCAGCACCCTGTCAGTCCATGCCCCCCCTTGTCCCTGTCCCCAGCCCCGGGTACCCATGAGCCCCCTCCCATGTGGCTGTCTCTACCTCTCCTGACTAGTCACAAGTGTGGAGTCCCACACCACATGGCCTCTCGTGTCTGGCTTCCTGAATGTTTTGGAGCTAACCCGTTGCAGCGTCCATGTGATTTTGCTGCCCCCATTTTGGGGGTCTTGTTCAGGGGCTGTATCTCTGTGATTGTTTTGTCATCCTGACAGATGAGCCCTTTCTCACTGTGTAACACCCTTTGTCTCTCCTAGTGGTTTTGTTTTCCGGGGCTGTTTTGTCTCCCAGTGGTGTAGCCATGCCCGACGTCTTGTGATTGCTGTTTGCATGGAATGGTTTTCCCTTTTTTGTACTTTTCATCCTATTTGTGTCATTGAACCTAAAGTGAGTCTCTAGTATACAGGGTAAAGTTAGGTTGTTGTATAAATCTGTTTTGTAATCTCTGCCTTTTATCTGGAGAGGTTAATACGTTTACATTCATTGTGACTACTGATCAGGAAGGGTTCTGGTGTCTTGCTTTCTACAGGTTGTTGTTTCGCTGACTTTTGAATTTCTTCATTACTGCCTTTTCTGTGAAGTAGTTATTGACTATGCCAAGAGTTTGTGGCCATTATGGAGCTACCCTCTTAGGAGATTATTTTCACAAATTACATTTTTATAGATTGTTCATCAACTTAGATTTATAATTACTATGTTTCTCAGTTTTGAAACAGTTGAGGTATGATTGGCATGTGTCACCGGATTAACTTCAGGTGCACAGCATGACCCCATTTGTACTTAGCTTGAAGTGGTCAGCGTGGCAGTCTGGCGTACATGCGGCCCTGCGTACACAGTTACTGTTACTGGGGTCTTTCAGGTGTTTGTGGGAATCCGACTTACTGTCTAGCAGCCTTCGTTTCTCCTGGAAACACTCCCTTTTGGTTTTCTCACAGGGCAGGATTGGAGCACGGAACTCTCAGTTTTCGTTTATCTAGGAATGTCTTCATTCCTCCTTCACTGCTAGGGGATAACTTGGCCAGGTGTAGAATTCTTGTTCCTCTGACCATGTCGTCCTGCTGCCTCTGGCTTCCGTGGCTTCTGACGAGAAACCAGCCGTGACCCCCTCGTTCAGGAGTCGTCTCTTGTCTTGCTGCTTGTGTCTCTGTGAGTTTCTCCTTTTGGAGTTCATCCAGCTTCTTGGGTGTGTCAGTTAATGTTTTGGACCCAATTAGGGAAGTGTTCAGCCATTATTTCTTCGAAGACCCTTTCTGCCCCCATGTGCCTCGCACTCTTTGGGCTCTCACTGTGTGGGTGGTATCCCTGGGGCCACTTCCCTTTCTCCATTTTTTTACTCCCCACGTGTCCGGCTGACTCGTCCCCATCAACTGGTGTCTGTGGTCACTCTTCTGCCCGCTCAGATCTGCTAGTGATCTTTTCGTTTTGGATAGTACTGTTTTCTGCTCCAGAATTTCTGTTTGGTTCCTTTAGGTAACCTCTCTCTTTGTTAGTATTCTCTATTTAGTGAGACATCGTGTAGCTCTTTGAACAGATTTTAAGTGGTGGTTGAAACGTCTTTGTCCCAGAAGTCTAGAGCCTGGGCTTCCTCGGGGACAGCTTTGGTTAGTAGATGTTTTTCCCCTGTGTTGGGCTCCCTTTTTTCCCCTGCATGTTTTGTACTTATTTGGGTGGGAGCTGGGTGTTTTTTGTATTGTAATGTAGCAACTCTGGAAATCGCATTGAACTGCCTGCCCCCCGGGATTGTTGCTGGTGCGGTCCGCTGTTGCTGGTTGGCTGCTTAGTGACCTTTCTGAGCTTGGTTTGCAAATTCTGTATTCTTTGTCACATGTGGTCATGAAGTTCTTTCTGTTAGCCGAGTGCTCAGCTAGTGCTCGATGGAGCTTTCCTTAGACACCGTGCTCGGGAGAAATGAGTCTCCCAGAGTTTACCGATGGGCTCGCTGTGCTGCGCTGGGGCCTGCTGCCCGCACTCAGCCAGCCCTCCTGGGGACTGTGCTGCTCCTGAAGGTCAGCCTGAGGTGGGGGCTGAGGGCTGCTTTCTTGAGCTTCCCGGGGGTCTTTGTGCTCCCTGGACCGTGGTGATGAGCACTCGTTGCAGAGGTCTCCGAGCAGTGCCCCAGGGAGCTGCCTCAGTGCTGGGAGGGGGACAGCCCCTAGCTAGGATGCACCAGATGGGGCCCGTGCAGACTGTCACAGTTCTGCACGGAGAGGTCTGCTCTGCTCCTTGGTACATGTGGCCACTGTCCATGCGATTCTGTTCGTATAGGTGTTTCTCATTTCTCTTATGGGTGGCGAGACCTTTAGGGTTTCTTTATCTGCCACTTCCTTTTGTCCACTGATGTCCTTTTTGCTAAAACTTGTATTGAATTCTGGCGTCAAGTGCCGCAGAGGAGAGATAACTGTGGGGTTAACTGTGCTGGACACAGTTGTCTGCCCTCGTTCCGAGTCTGTGGCCCAAGACGTCCTTGTCAGAGACCGTGAGCTGCAGCTGGAGACTCTCTGTTGGTCAGAGAAGTGAAGAGGGGCCACGTTTCCCCCTAGAGCCCTCCCCGTGCCGGGTCCCAGACAACGGGAGACACAGTGGGATGCAGGCCCGGGGTTCCGAAGGCCGATGGGAGGGAACTCCCCCGCCTCTGAGCCTGGCCCTGGGCTGTGTTCTCGGTGCGGCCTCCTGACGCCGCCCTCCCCTTTCTCAGGCTGTCTTTCTATTCCGGACACTCCTCCTTCGGGATGTACTGCATGTTGTTCCTGGCGGTGAGTCCTTTCCCAGGATTGCCTTGTGGGACCAGCCCTGTCCCTGCCTTCCCTGGGCCTCGGTTTCTCTTTCTGCGGAAGGGGCGGGCTGACGGGTGCGGAGGCTCTGTGTTCCTGGCCTCAGAGCTCCCACCTGTGCCCCGGTGTGGGGGGAGCCCAGCTGGCTCCCAGGCTGACGGCCGCCCTCTGGCCCCCAGCTCTACGTGCAGGCCCGGCTCTGCTGGAAGTGGGCGCGGCTCCTGCGGCCCACGGTGCAGTTCTTCCTGCTGGCCTTTGCTCTCTACGTCGGCTACACCCGCGTGTCTGACTACAAGCACCACTGGAGTGATGTCCTCGTTGGCCTCCTGCAGGGGGCGCTGGTGGCCGGCCTCACTGTGAGCTCCTGGGCTTGCCACCCCCTGCCCCGCACCCTCTTGTCCCCTCTGCCCCAGTCCTCCCCCCTCGGAGCCCATCACCCCCCCACACCCCGCCCACTCCCTTCCCCTTCCGCTGCTCCAGCAGCCCTTGTCTTCTCCCCCAGGTTCGCTACGTCTCTGACTTCTTCAAGTCCCGGCCCCCACAGCGCTGCCTGGAGGAAGAGGAGCTGGGACGGAAGCCCAGCCTGTCCCTGACGCTGACCCTGGGCGAAGCTGGCCGCAACCACTGTGGGTACCCGGTCTCCTCTTCCTGAGGTGGGGCCCCCGGCTCTGGGTCCAGTGGGTATCAGGCTGTGTTCGGGGTCCTGGCCGGGCTCTCCCCTGAGGTGGGGAGGGGGGCTCTGGACCAGCTCCAGGGGCCCTGTGCTGGTGGCCGGCGGGCCACCCACCAACCCCACCTCCTGTGTGCTGGACCCACGGTCTGGGGGTGCACAGGGTGGCCCCAGCGTCGGGAAGGGGGAGGGACCCTGTGCTCTCAGCTCCCTCCGAAACCCTTTTCTTGGAGGAGAGGGGAACCGAGAGCCCCAGATAGATGCTGATTTTGTAAAGTGTAACGTATATGTGGACTTTTAGTAAAAGAGAGTGTTTGATGGACACGTGGTATCAGCCTCCGTTCTTTCCTGCCTTTCTGAGCGTGGTTCCTGCAGCAGAGTGGCCCGCGCCCTCCCTGGCCTCCCCTGCATGTCTTCATCTGGCTGCGGACTCGTGGGGATCACACCCTTTAATAAGCTGGTAAACCTCAGTGTTCCTGGGGCTGGGGGAACCCTAAGAGAGCAGGTGTCTAGTCGGGGGGTCAGAAGCCCCATCCCAACCTGGCGCTGCGGACGGCTTCGGGTGGGCGCGGTCTCGTGGGATGGAGGTCTTAACCTGCGCACCCTGGTGCCATCTGGGGGTGGGCTGCCCAGATTGTCCCGATGTCGAAACTGGGTCTGGAAGCTGAAAGAACTGTTTGTGAGCCGGTTAAGTCAACAAGGGAATGAGAGTAATAGCCGAGCCTAACCCTCGAGGGCTTCCTCTGATCCCGTCAGGGAGGGGGGAGGCCGGAGGAAGCAGATACAGCTCCGCCCAGTGCCCGGGGCAAGGGTCCCAAGCAGCTAGTGAGGCCCCTGCTGTTGTCCTGGTCCCAGGGAGGGCAAGGGTTGAGGCCGCTGAGTTCAAGTCAGGGTGCAGAATTTGTCTCCGTGGCCGTCCTCTCGCAGTAGGGAGGCCTCTGCTGAAAGCCCCCTCCTAGTACGGACCCCCGCACGGAAGCAGTGGGGCGGAAATGGAGATGGAGCTCAGAGCCGCCTCGGGCCTCCTCAAGGGTCCTGCAGGGCCTGGGTCCGTGGCCACGGGGCCTGAAAGCTCCCATTTGGGGTGTGGGCCTGAGGCTGGACTCCTTGTCCCATCTCTGCTCAGAGATATACTCTCTCCCTCTGACGGATGGGGACCCTGCCCTCGGATCCTGCCCTCAGATCCTCACGTCTCGCAGTGCCCACCTTTAACAGCCATACCTGGGGCTCCTGGGGCCTTAAGTCTGTCCGCGTCCGGCCTTCCTGGAGGACTTGTCCTGACTCTTCCCCTCTGGTCATGCAGATGGGGTCCAGGAGCAGCTCGTCTCACTCTGTCCTCGATGGACAACTCCCCACCACTCAGGGACGTGAACAGCAGGGCAGTAAAACAGACTAACTGTTAGAAATATATACTTTTAAAAAAAGGAGATGTGGGGGTCCCTGGATGGCTCAGTCAGTTAGGGGTCTGCCTTCGGCTCAGGCCATGATCTCAGGGTCCTGGGATCAAGCCCCAGGTCAGGCTCCCTGCTTGGGGGAGAGTCTGCTGCTGCTTCTGCCCCTCCCCCTCTGCTTCTGCTCTCTCTCAGATAAATAAATAAGATCTTTTAAAAAAAACAAGAAAGCTGTGTTCAAAACCTTGGTATAGGGAAGCCTCTTGTAATTGGGGAAAGCAGAGAAAGTGGAATTGAGGAAAATCTGAGGTCTGGGCCAGAGCAGCAACTCGAGAAACAGAAGGCGCTCTGAGTGGTGGGTCCCTTGTGCAGGGAGGACGCGTGTGAGGTGTTGGCCTCCGGAGTGGTTGTGGTCAGGCCGGCACCTCAAGACAGGCAGATCGGACAGAGCTCCCCTTTGCAAGGACAGTGTCAACGGTGGGTTTGATTTTTGGACTAAATATGTGTCAAACAGGTTACTTATTTTTAAGCGTTAATGTTTCATTTGTCCCCCAAAGCTGCTTTATTCCACACCCCTTGCACGGTGTTCCGGCCAGGCCTCGGAGAGAGGGCGTCGCCGGGGGGCAAAGACGCAGCCCCCTGGGCGCTGGATGGAGACGGTCTCCCTGGCTGCCATGAGCCTGCTTTTGCTGTGGCGGCCGGTGGGGAGGAGGGAGGCCGGACGCGGCAGCACGCCAGCACGCTGCACGCCAGCAACTCGGCCTCACCACCATGAAGCTGCCCGGGGCTGGGGAGCCTGGGCATCCCAGGACTCAGGAGAAGGCGGTGACCTAGCCCTGGCTGCATGTGGGGAGGGCATGCCCAGGCTCAGGCGGGGGGTGTCTGTCCGTGAAGGGGGCAATGAGTGAGTCACTCTGTGCTGTATCTTGAGGACTTTTATGTCCAAAAAAGGAAAATTCTGCCCAAGTGAATTTTCTTCAACAGTATCCATGCATTTCTTATTTTCCAAATGTCTCTATTTAAGTTACAACAACATAAAACCCTGAAAGAAAAACAAGATTATATTAATCTTTAATATAAATTAAATAAAATTAAGTGTAATGAAAAATTAAGGTTGGTTACCGTCTGATATAAGAAGGGAGTTTCCGCCGTTCATTAGCCGTAGGCAGTGGGGTGAGGGCCTCGTGCCCACATTACCAAACACCTGTAAATGGAGGGAGACATTGTGCTGTAGAATTTAAAAACCTCTGCTTTTTCTTAATCCTCTCGACACATTCTCAGCGGCTGGACAGCTCCCCGGGGCTCCTCTACCAGTCGGTGGACCCCAGCCACATCCTAGACAAACATGGCAGTATTTCCACTAGCTTTGTTTTTAGCAGTTGTGATTCGTGGGGAGAAGCAGCCCACTTCATACATTTGATGGCCCGGTTTTGGGTGAATCTGGGACTTTGGATGAGACTCACCAGTTGGTAAAAGGCTGGAACTGCCGGCTGTAGGCAGCTGCCCTGCCGAGGTGCACAGCTTCTCCCCATCGTGCCTTCTCCCTGCTCCCAGAGGAGCTGCTCACCTCTTCCGGTGTCAGGGCCAAGTAGCCACAAGGTCGTGGCGGCGGCCGCCGTGTGTCTGAGGCCAGAGCGGCCTCCCTGCAGGCCACATGGCTCAGGCCTAGAAACTGACCCTTGGTACGCTGCAGGAGACCAGCGGGAGCTTGGGTGACCTAAACGGGAAGAAACCACAACAAAAAAAGCACGTTCCGTTTTCTCTTCAGTCCAGTGAGGGTCTTTCTGGGACACCCACTTGAAAAATACACCTTCCTTCCCCCTCCGTGAAAAGTGCTCTGTGTATTAAACAGTTTTATTCTCTGGACGAAGCCAGGCCACGAGGGGTTTGTTCACGGTATGTTCCACGCCCGACGCCACTGTGAGGTCTACCCGGACGAGACCGCTGAGGAGCGGCTGGTAGGAGCTGCCGAGGCTTCCTGCAGCCTGTGGCATTTCCCTCGTCCCCATGGTCCCTGCCGGGGTGAGGAGCTCTGCACTCCCCGAGTCCTGTGCCTTCTGGGTTTCCTTGGTGACGGGGGTCTAAAGACACACTCTCCCACCTCTGGAGAGGACAGACTTCCAGCTCTGCCCCGCCTCACCTCATCTCCACTTGTGGGGTTTGCAGTTTGTCAGGGTCCCCATCTGGGAAGAAGCGGGTGGAGACTTCCCTGCAGGGACACGTGGGGCTTGAGGCTGGGGTTGGTCTGGCCGGGGCCTGACAGCCCCATCAGGGAGCTCTCCGGGCCTTTCCAGTCACTGCTATAGGCCACGTAGACCTGACTCCCTAGGGACACATTGGGCAGATGGATGTTTCTCTTGGTCTCCTTTGTGCAACCCCAAGGCTGGGACATGCACGTCGTTTCTGTGCTGCAGGGGGAGTACTCGGGGGGAAACTGATCTGTGCATGTGGTGCTTCTCTCCTGGGCCACTTGTAAGGCACCATTTGGTGCTTTGTCCAAGTAGAGAAGGCACTAGTGACATGTGGCCCTTTAAGTTAATTTATGAAATAAAGATCTGGTTTACCAGCCACGGGGGTCCTATTTGAAGCGTAAAATAAATGGAGGGTTAGATGAAGGGAAGTTCTGTTGTTGCAGGGCTTCTACTGAGAAGTTAGAGCAATAGTAAGGCCGTCCAGTTGGGATTAAGGTTAGTGCTGAGGTCAGGATGGGCCAGGGTCAAGGTCATTCTAAGGGAGTGAGGACTCATGTCCACATCCTTGGTGGCTGAATGTCTACATCAATTACTTGAAATTTTCCTGCATAAACAAAAGTAAACTGAAGGGAGAACTGGGCCACGGTGCTGTTGGGGGAGGTGCCAGATGGGCCCGCCGTGCACACAGACGTCTCTGCCCTCAGCCAGAGTGCACAGCCTTCTCCCGCTGAGTCCCTCAGGGGAGGGGATGACATGCGAGGGCACCGATGGTTCGACGACTTGAAGGAGATTGAAGTCATACCGATAACCTTTCCTGACCACAGTGGAATAGAGCCAGGAATCAACATAGAAGGAAAACTGGAAATTTTGCAGAGAGATGGATCTCACACACTGTCGAAACACCAGCTGGTCAAAGTGGAAATCAAGAGTGAGAGTGAGGGGTACCTGGGGGCTCAGTGGGTGAGGGCTCCGATTCTTGATTTCAGCTAGGGTCACGGGATCAAGCCCCATGTCATGCTCTGCGCTGTGCAGAATCTGCTTGAGATTCTTTCCCTCCCTCTGACCCCACTCCCCACTCTCTCTCTCTGAAATAAATAAAACCTTTTTAAAAAAGTGAAATTAAAAAACATCCCGAGACCAACAAACATGACGACACAACATAGCAAAAGATATGAGATGCGGCAAAAGCAGTACTAAGAAGGACGTTTATAAATGTCTGAGTTTATTCTTTTTATTTAAATTCAATTAGCCACATAGAGTACTTCATTAGCTGTCCACGCAGCGTTCGATTCGTCAGTTGTGTGTAACACCCAGTGCTCAACACCGCACGTGCCCTCCTTCATGCCCATCACGCGGTTGCCCCATCCCCCCACTCTTCCCTTCTGTGACCCTCAGTTTGGTTCCGGGAGTCCAGAGTCTTTCATGGTTTGTCTCCCTCTCTGATTTCTCCCCCTTCGGATTTCCCTCCCTTCCTCTGGGGTCCTCTGGGCTATGCTGCTTATGTTCAAGGTCTGAGTGAAATCGTACGATAGTTTTTTCTCTGTCTGACTTACTTCACTTAGCATAGTCCCCTAGAGTTCCATCCACA